TGTGCGCTAAGCCTTGGGCTGGAACACACGGGATTCCTATACTTTATCCTGGATTGGAGGCTAAAATACAAAAGTTTTCTAAAAAAAAGGGGCAGTAGGCAAAGTAAGCTTTTAGACCTATGGCTGTAGAAATCCTTCTAGGAACACATAACTGTCTTTCTCGGAGCTGCTGGTGGGTTTGAACCTTAGACCTTAAGGTTAACAGCCTATTCTAACCTGACAACACAACCAGGGCTCCTTTTGGTCTCAAGTAAAGCTTAATATTCAAGGCAGACCTGTTTTTACTAGTTAAGTCAGCTACTGTTTGGTTTATTTGGGGTTTAAAGTTTAAAGATTATCTCAGGGCAATTGGTTCAACTGTTCATCCACCCTACATGGCTCAAGAAATTGTTGAGTTCATGAGAAGTTGAAATTCTGTACTTTTTCCCCTTGTGATCAGGATTCTTCTGTGGAATCTTTTTTTTAAAATATGTAAATCATCTTATGGGGTCTCTTACAGCTCTTACAACAATCCTTACATCAATTGTATCAAACACATTTGTACATATGTTGCCATCATCGTTTTCAAAACATGTCCTTTCTGCTTGAGCCCTTGTTTCCAGCTCCTCTTTTTTCCTTCCCTCCCCTGCCTCTTCCGCCCTCATGAAATCCTGATAAATTATAAATTATCACTGTTTTCATATCTTACACCATCCGCTGTCTCCCTTCACCCACGTTTCTGTTGTTTGTCCCCCTGGGGGGTGGCAGTGTTATTCGTCCATCCTTGCAATTAGTTCCCCCATTCTCCCCCATCTCCCTCCACCTTCTCCCTACCCTCATAACGCTGCTCCCATTACTGTACCTGGGGGATTTATCTGTCCTGGATTCTGTGTGTCAAGAGCACTTATCTGTACCAGGGTACATGCTCTGGTCTAGCCAGGTTTGTAAGGTAGAACTGGGGCCATAATAGTGGGGGGGCTGGAAGCGTTAAAAGAACTAGACGAATGTTGTGTGTTTTGTCAGTGCTATACCACATTCTGGCTGACTCGTCTCTTCCTTATGACTCTTCTGTGAGGGGATGTCCAGTTGTCTACAGATGGGCTTTGGGTCTCCACTCTGACGCCCCACATTCACATCAATATAATTGTTTTGGGTCTTTTGATGCCTGATACCTGATCCTGTTGACACCTTGTGATCACACAGGCTGGTGTGCTTCTTCCATGTGGACTTTGTTGCTTCTGAGCTAGATGGCTGCTTATTTAACTTCAAGCCTTTGAGACTCTACATTCTATATCTTTTAATAGCTAGGCACCATCAACTTTCTTCACCACATTTGCTCATGCACCCATTTTGTCTTCAGTGATTGTGTCGGGAAGGTGAGTGTCACAGAATGCCAGGTTCTTAGAATAAAGTGTTCTTGCGTTGAGGGAGGACTTGAGTAGAGGCCCAAAGTCCGTCTGCTTCCTTAATACTTAACCTATAACTACGGATACATAGGCCTTTATCCCTATCGTTATATATTAAAACATTTACATATTACATGTCTATATTTATACCTCTATAAATGTCTTTTGCCCCCTAGTTATTTCCTCTGTTTCCATTTACTTTCCTCCTATCCCACTATCTTGTTTGACCTTCATTCAGCTCTCAGTAATTTTAGATCTCTTGTTGTTTCCTTGTTCCTGGGTTTGTTGGCTCCCCCTTCCCTTCCCCAACCTCCCCCTCTCCCTTGTCTCCCCAGAACTGTCGGTCTCTGTTTTTTCCCTGCGATTTTTTATCTTGCCTATCTGGAGAAACATGAAAAAAAAGAAGGAAAAAAAAGAGAAGGGTCTATAAATAGTTACAGGTCTGTCTACTCACCCTTACGTATGATTTCCGATCAAGTTCGATGAGATGCCAAGCCCTGCCCTCCAAATCTGAAGTCTATTATCGGGATTCCTTGGGACTTCGACTGCTTGCTCCCCTTGCTGCTCTGTTGCACTCCCTCCATGTTATGCCCGGCGGGTGGGTAGGTGGGTGGGGAAGTTCAGACTGGGCACAGTTCCCACACTGTGTCTCCAGTGCTGGACCCTGCAGTGCTGTGGGTCAGTGAGGGGACGTGGTGTCTCATGGTGGGGCTGGCCCTGCAGTCCTCTCTGTGCCTTGGCTCCCCCAAGCAGGAGTGTCATCCCCTGGGCTTGGTGGGCCAGGATGCGGTTCTCTCTCTCTCCGCCCCCCCCCACCTCACCCCTGCCCCCTCTGAGTTTGCTCACTGTGTGGCCTGAGCAGAGCTGTCACTCTCCCGGGCTGTGTCTTCAGTGCTGTCCTCGGTAGTGCAGTCTTCTGGGGAGGGGTCGACACAGCTGGGATTGGGGCCGGCCCTGCAGTCCTCTCTGTTTGTTCGCTGCTTCATGCCGGGATGCTGCCCTCAAGGCTTGGTGTGAGAGGTTGAAGTCTCGTTTTTCCCTCCCTTTCCTGTGGAGACCTAAACAGTACCCTCCCTGTGGGTGGGTTATTGCCCTGTTCCCCCACTGTTCTGTGGAACCTTTTATCAAAAAGTTCGGTGACAGTAACCATGCAATTCTGGTTTCATGGCAAAGGCAGCAGTTGTTCATGGAAACTGTGACCACACATTCCATATTCACTGCCACCGACGCGGGCCCATAGCGATCCTTACAGGACAGCGTAAAACTGCCCCCCCCCCCATGGGTTTCCGAGACCAACTCCTTAGGAGAGTTGAAAGCTCTTTGTCCCAAGGAATGGACAGTGGTTTCGAACTGCTGACCTTAGTGTTTGTAGCCCATTACATAACCACTCTGACACATTCCATAGCCGCCTCTTATTCCTGACCCTCTCTTCCTTTGTTGTTCAGTTGACTAGAGACCGCCTTGGCCTTGGAGAGTAGCTTGCAACCTTTCAGGCCCTGGGTGATATTCAGGGACCTCAGAGGTAGAACAGACTCACTAAACATGCTTTCTGGCCAGTTAACCGATGTCCCATGAAACCATGACCCTAAACTCCAAACCAGGAACCACTCCCAAAGAGGTGTCTGGTTATACGGACGCAGCCTCAACGGCTGTCCTTGCTGCTCTGTTCTGTTGTTGTAAATGCATGACTTTTCACCGGTGTACAACTTATTGACAGCCATGACAATAATCAGCTGGGCAACCCCACTCTTAAGCAATACTCTTTTTTCCATTACTGTTAAACTCTTTCCCTCCCACCCCCTCCTTGAAGCTCCTGGCAACCACTAATAGAAGTTGTTCTCTACATGTTTTTTCTCTATTCTTCTATATAAGTGACATCATAAAACAGTCCCCCTTTTGTGACTCATTTATTCAGGAGGCCTGGTGGCACTGTGGGGTAAGCATTGGGCTGCTAACACAGGGCTCCAAGCCCACTGGCTGCTCGCGGGAGGAAGATGAGGCTGCGCCGTGAAGACAAGGAGCGCTTCCACCTGTCTCATCGGGTCTTCCTTCATGAGTCAGAACGGACGCCATGATAACAGATTGTGTCTGCTTCGATGGCTGTAGCTGTACAGTATATTTTAAAATCAGGAAGAGTGAGTCTTCCAACATTGTTCTCTTACAGCTTTTTTTTTAGTTATTTGGGAGTCTCTTGCCATTACATACAAAGTCGAGGAGTGATTATTTTTGCAAAGGAGGCTCTTGGGCTTTTGACTGAGATTGCATTGAATCTATAGATCGTTTTGAGTAGTGTTGACATCTTAATACTGTATATACTCGAGTATAAGCTGATCTGAATATCAGCCGAGGCACCTAATTTTACCACAAAAACGGCATTAAAAATATGCTGAAAAATTTGGCTTACACAAGCATATACAGTAAGTCTTCTAATCCATGAACATGGGACATCTTTTCTAGTTATTAAAGTCTTCTTTCCACTCTTTCAGCGTGATTTTTTCCCCTGTGTAAGTTTGTACATCCCTGGTTAGATTTATTCCTACATAATGTAATCTCTTAGATGCTACTGTAAATAGCATTGTTTCCCTAATTTCCCTTGGAGATTTCTAATCGCTGTCATATGGCCCTCTCGGTAGCACCACTCTCACCACTGCTGCCTGTTGACCGTGTGCCCTGCAACTTTGCCAAGTTCCTCTCTTAGCTCTAGAAGTTTTCTCGTGGGACTTTGTGATTTTCTATCTATAGGATCATGCCATCCATGACTAGAGATAGTTTTTCTTCTTTTCCAACCTGAATAGATTTTGCTTCTTGTCTTACTGCACGGACTAGGACTGCTAATTTAAGAGTCAACAGGGGTGAGAGCAAGCACTCCTGTCTTGTGGAAGTAAGAGCTGAGAGTCATTTCTGGTTGCTTAGCATCTTTTTCTGATACTGAGACACAATTGCTTCTCTGAGTCAGACTATTTTTATGTGAAAGGAAAAAAATATTTGCATACACTTGGTGAGTCTTCCTTGTGGGGCCAGGACTGGTATCAGTAAGTGTTTTGCATGGATGAACTAATTTAATTAGAGCGGGTGCCCACCTTCCCTCCTTGAACCTGGCCTTGGCTTGTTGCCTCTGCCCACACCAGTCTTTCATCCTGGGCTGCTCCGATATGGCGCAGGGGACACATACTTCTGTTTAGAGCAAAACAATTCATTTAGAATCAATTTCTCAAAACATGTAGACAGATTGAAAATGTTTTTAAAGCATCCAATTTTTTCTCTGAAAACTCACTGTAAACTACAATTCATTGCCTGGAGTAAATTGTAATCTTTAAAGTCATTCCATCTACATATTTGCGACATTTTCTGAGACTTTTACAAACTGTACCTTTTTTTCCCCTCCAAACTATACTCTTGATTGCCTGAGTTTCTGTTTCTTTTTAAGGAAAAACTTAGCTATAAAAAGATTAAAGTGAGCTTTGTGCAGTGGCAATATCGTAGCCAATGAGGTTTATCCAAGGCGTGATTATTGCTAATTGAAAAAAAAAAAGATGAAAGTGTTTTCCTCCTCTATGCGTTATCTGCATAGCTTAGAGAAAGATTCCCGGATTCATCTATAAGCATTGCTGTCTATTTTAAATTAAAAAATGGGAATAACCCTTGGATAATTGCATCATGTAAACTTTAAGATATTTTCGCAGGTGGTATATTTCAAAGTCTACAAAATGATTTCAATATTTTTTTAATTTCAAAAAGTTTGTTATATTAACTGCCAATCCTGAATAGTCTTCTAAGTTGTTGATTGACAAGGAACCAATTGCAGCAAAAAGCCCTGAAATTGTAATTTTTGGAGATTGAGAATGGTCAAGATCGGGGGTGGGGGTGGGGGGCAATGGTATCTGCCACCGTGGAAGCAGGCGCCTGTCGAAGTCACACTGAGAACGTGTCTGGCTGAAGCACTGGACGTAACCCTTCACCCCCTTCAACATAGTGGTGGAAAAGCTATCACATGGACTGTTTGAGTGCGTGTATGTCAAGGTGTTTGTCTTTTTAAATCCTAGGGAATGAGTATCGCCATCCTAGGACCCACATTTCCTGACTTGGCGGCCAACGTGAACAGCAACATCAGCAGTCTCTCCCTGATCTTCGTGGGCCGGGCTTTTGGCTACCTGAGTGGGTCTGTGGTTGGCGGGATTCTTTTTGACTGCATGAACCACTTTTTACTTTTGGGTAAGTAAACATTAGTTTTCGCTTCTTTGTGACCTTTCAATTTGTCCTTAACTATGTACATGAAAAATGCACAGGAAAGTTGGACATGGAGTAAGGAAGATTGAAGAAGAATCGGTGCGTTTGAATGGTGGTGCTGTCGAGAAGACTGAAAGCCATGCACTGCCCAAAAAACAAACAGATCTACCTTGGGTTAAAAAGTATAGCTGGAATGCTCCTTAGCATTGAGGATGGGGAGACTTCGTCTGATGTGCTCTGGGCACGTTTTCAGGAGAGACCAGTCTCTGGAGTAGGACAGGTGCTTGGTAAGGTGGGGTGGGGGTGGTGCAGAAAAGAAGAAGAGTCTTCACAAGAGGGTTTGACTGACATTGGCTGCAACAATGGAGTTGAACACAACAACCGAGGTGAGGGTGATGCAAGACCGGACAGTGTTTCATTCTCCTGTACCTGGGTCTCTGTGAGCCAGAACCACGTTGATGGCAGGCACCGAACAACAACATGAAGAATCCTAGCTGGCAGAATTACTGACCGTTTATAGCAGGGGTGCTCAATATGTCAATCGTGATCTACTAGTCGATCGCAAATGTAGTGTGGGTAGACCGCATGGCATTGAAAAAATAGATGTAAGCCTATCATCAATCCCGTCACTTAATTGATACACAGCGCAGCCAATCAGATGCAATCTTAGGTGTCAAAAACATGCACAAACAACTGCGCTAAGTGCAGCAAAACTGACAAGCTAAGATATCGCTAATTTTTAGACATTGTTTTTTTTTCTCTTAAATGTAAGAAAGGGTATTAAAATGAGTGGGGGAGCTGGACCAAGTAAGAAGACAAAAACGTATCTCTTTCATACGGAACGGGAGAGTTTGACACTACAAGCCGACATTCAGCTGAAGTCCAGGGCGCATGACAGTTCTGGGACTTCCTCGCAGCGGGAAAGGACCCAACCCTGAGAAAATGTGCTGCCTCCTTGACTGCATGACTCGGCGCTACTTATTGATGTGAGTCAGCCTTTTCCCACGTAAAGAGCACTAAGTCCTAGTCCCGTTCCCCCATGACTGATGACCATTCGGAAGTGTGCTTGAGGCTGGCTGTCAGCAGCTACTGTCCGGACTATGCATCCCTGGCTCATCCCATTCAGTGCAAGTCATCAGAGTAAACTCAGGCCATGACCAAAAATGTGCATAGTTAATTGTGTTGTGTTGTGCAATATGAACTCATGCGGTTATGGCAAGGTACATAAATATACATTGCACATATAAAGAATTCTCAATGCATTTATGAATGTAATAAATAAATATATGTTGTGCATTTTGGTAGTTGGTAGATCATTCTGACTTGATCATTTTATAAGTGGCTCGCATGCTGGAAACTGCAAGCACCCCTGGTTTATATAAAGAAAACCACACTCTCTGCCGCTGAGTCGATTCCAGCCCTGTAGGATGGAGTAGAACTGCCCCCCCGGCTCTTCATGATGAAATCTCTACAGGACCTGCCACCATGTCTTCTCCTGCGGAGTGGCTAATGGGTTAGAACGGCTAGCTTCTGATTCACTGTTGAGCACTTTAACCATTGCATGATCAGGGACAATTTATTTAAGAGATGGTGCCTGCTCTCAGCTTGGCACTTACGGAGGGTTGATGCTGAACTGCTGGAAACTTAGACTAACCCAAGAGCTAATCTGGGGCTGCTAACCACAAGGTCAGCAGTTTAAACCCACCAGCCATTCCTCAGGAGAACATAAGACTCTCTGCTCCCATAAGATGTTGAGTCTCAGAAACCCTATATAGAGTTGCTATGAGTCTTAAAGGCACCCTGGTAGTATTGGGTTACAAACTGGGCACCTCTAACTGCAAGGTCAGCAATTGGAAACCACCAGGAAGAAAACACGAGGATTTCTCCTCCTGTAAAGAGTTACAGTCCAGAATCACACAGGGACGCTTCTACCTTGTCTTACAGGGTCACTGTGAGTTGGAATTGACTCAGTGATAGCGAGTTTGGTTTGCTTGTTTTTTTTGGGGGGGTGGGTTTGGTAAGAGTATGTGTAGTAGTTACATAATTTCGTGTCAGCTTGAGGATATTAAGAGTGAAAGGGTGGAGTCTAGCCTGTCAGTCAGGTCACAACCTGATGATGCCTCCTTGTGGAAATGGCCTTCTCATGAGCATTCTGGGAACCCCCTCTCCTTCTCCCTGGAGGTGGGCCACACACTCTCTCTGTTTCACCTTCCTGGTGACAAGCCACTTGGAGCCATGCTGATGGAGCCAGAGCCCTTGGAGATCCAAACCACCATTGGATCCACAAGACTGTGCACCCACCGGCCTGTGATCTTCCTGTATTCTGCATCATTGCATGAATCTGAAGAGGCATTTATGGACTAGTGTCGGACAGATGGGCTAATATCAAACTTGATGGATTTGATCTGGACCGGGCTGGGATATTTATTCCATATATACTTGCTCTTTGATATAAAGCTCTCTCTTACACACGAGTGACTCCAATCAACCCGGTCCAACCCAGTGTGTCAGTGACCCTTGGAAGTCCTGAGCTTCTCTGGTTATCCAAGGGCCTGCCCCCAGAGTTCAGACTGAGCTCCTCGAGTCTCCTGGCGCTGAACTGGAAGTAGGGCTGGCAGGCGGAACAATGCGGCTAAGTGTTTGTTCCTGCCGCCCCAGATCACCGATGAACCCAGACCTCACTACCTTCTTCTTGAACTTGCTGTCAAAGATTTTAACATACTCATTAGACCGAACCGACATGTGTAAAAGAAAATTGGATTCGTGCGATAATAAACCTTTAGGAATTGGGAGAATCATTTATTATTGTTGAAGAGTAAATAACTAATTCCTCTTAATTACAAAGTGGATTAGGAGTATATAATTCCATACTTATTCTCCAAACTCATTGAAATAAATTTCTGTTACAAACCATGACAATTGCATTTTATTTTAACTGCATATCTACAAATCTCCTTAGGTTCTGAAATTCGAAACATTTGATGTTAAAATTATTAGTACTTTTTTAACCATTTTATTGACTTATACGTTGTGTGTAATACAATTCAATGGCTTAAATACATTTAAAAGAAATGTTCAATTATTTTTGATCTTGTGATAAAACTGCTTGTTATAATTTATAACTTGATTGTTATCAGTACTACAACTGTTTTCATATTAGAGTAACATTTTATAGTCTATAAAGATTAGAAAAGCTTTTAAACCAAACAATCATTTCTAGAATGGAACTTCTTATCTACTCATTGTTCCCTCATTTTAGTGTGACCAGATCCTGCATGTTCTGGAGCTTTTGCACTGACTCGATCCATGGTTCCCTGCATGAATATTGGACTCTGAGCTGACTTTGCCCTTTCCTTGCAGGGGTGTCGTTATTGGTTACCACAGTTGGCCTGTACCTTGTTCCTTTTTGCAAGAGAGCAGTTCTCCTGATTGTCATGATGTCTGCCTTTGGGGCTTCAATTGGTGTCCTGGATACAGGTTAGTGAGCCCCCCAGTGGCATCTCTGGTCGTGGGGTCCTTCTGTTAGAAGTAGAAATAGAGCAGAGGACATGAAGCCCCTGCAATGACACTGACCTTCTGAATTTGTCACAGTCACCCAGCCAGAGCCATCCTCCTCACCAGGGGCCACAGAGCTGCCGCAGACGCCTGGTGACCCGCCCCTACCTGGAGGAGAACTGTGCTCCATGGGTTTCTCGGGACTGATTGTTATTTGAAATTGGTCACCAGGACTTTCTTCCGAGGCACTTTCAAGTGAGATAGTGAGCAGCAGAGCAGCAGGATCCCCTGGGGCCTCTCACAGGCGGTGGGCCTGTGTTCGAGTGGCCGACCCCGGAGTGCGTTTAAAGAAACTTTCTGTATGAGACTGGATGTATGGCCTCCAGATAGGGAAAGGTAATTACAGTACGAGTGCAGGGTCCCCACCTCCCCCCTTCCACTCACACCAGGCTAGAACGTGTCATTGCAACAGGGGAGGCATTGATGGTTGAATAAGTTAGACCAGTTTGGCTGATGGCAAGTGCACCCCGCTGTGCGCCTTCCCACCTCCTTCCTTTCTGCCCTCCTCGTAAGCATCCCTACTGCAGGAGAGCCTGCCCACGGTCTGGATGTGGCGTTAGTTCTCCCTGTCCAAGTTAGCGCAGTCCTGGCTGGAGTGAATGTCACCTCGCCCGGCTGCTAACAGAAAGGTTTCTGTCCACCCCGTGGTGGCGCCTTCGAAGAAAGGGCTGGCCACCAACCTCCCCGTCAGCCAGGAGAGTGTGATGGAGAGCTCGCTGTGCATGGGACTGACTCGGGGCGGCCGCTGCAGCTAGTTCCCCAGTGCTGCTCCGTCAGGAAGGCCACACTGGCTGCCTCAAAAGGACAGACCTGCGTGTCCTCGCAGTCTGGGGGCCAGGTGTCCAAGTCCAGTTTCCAGCCCTGCTGGTGACTTCTAGTGCTCTCTGCTCACTTTTGGTGGCCTCCGAAACCCTGTGTGCCCCTTTGGGGTGGGACCACACAGGTCCTTTAGCTTTCTAGGTCCGCCCCACCCCCACCCACCACCTCCACCTGCCCTGCTCTTTGAGAACCCAGAAGTTACTAGGGTTTAGAGTACACCCTCCCTGGGGTGGCTCGTGACCGGAACAAAAGAGCTAAGATTTCACTGTGTGTTTTCGCGGGACACAGAGCCCCTCAGCACTCCCTGCCACGAAGTCCATCCTGACTCCCAGGGACTCTAAGGCGCAGGGACTGTCCCTGTGGGTTATCAAGACTGCTAAACTCTGGAGCAGCGGCTCTCAACCTGTGGGTCGCAACCCCTTTAGGGGTCGAACGACCCTTTCCCGGGGGTCGTTCGATTCATAACAGTAGCACAGTGACAGTTATGAAGTAGCAACGAAAATAACTGTGTTTTGGGGATGGTCAGCACAACACGAGGTACCGTATTAAAGCATGAGAAAGGCTGAGCACCACTGCTCTAGATAGAGAGGTGTATTTCGAGGGCTATAATCTTTGCGCCAGGTCAAGCCAATGAAAGCGCTTCCTGAGAGTAGAGAACGAGGCTTGTTTCAGAGTAACTAACTTGAAATCATTTCCCTGTCTTTCACTGGCAGGTGGTAATATCCTTATCTTGGCGCTCTGGGGTGACAAAGGAGCCCCGCACATGCAGGCCTTACACTTCAGTTTTGCCCTGGGGGCATTTCTGGCCCCCCTGCTGGCCAAGCTGGCACTTGGTTCCACCGCATCTGCCGAAAACCACACGGCGGCCGACTTGAACAGCAGCCACCTCGCCTTCAACGGATCCCCCGAAGCCGGCGCAGCACCTGTATTCGGAGTCCCAGACAATGTCAGCCTACTGTGGGCGTATGCGCTCATCGGGACTTACATTTTTGTCATCTCCACTTTGCTGTTTGCTCTGTTTTTCAAGAAAAGTTCAAGGCGCGAGAAGGCGCAGGCGTCTGCCCAGAGGTCCCGGCGAGCGGAGCACCACAAGGCCCTGCTGTGTCTCCTGTTTGTGTTCTTCTTCTTCTACGTGGGCGCCGAGGTGACCTACGGCTCCTACGTGTTCTCCTTCGCCACCACCCACGTCGGCATGAGCGAGGGCGAGGCGGCCGGCCTGAACTCCATCTTCTGGGGGACCTTCGCCGCCTGCCGGGGCATGGCCATCTTTTTCGCGGCGTGCTTGCAGCCTGCCACCCTGATTGTGCTGAGCAACATCGGCAGCCTGGCGGCGTCCCTGGTGCTGGTGCTTTTCGACAAGAACCCCTTGTGTCTCTGGGCGGCGACGTCCGTGTACGGGGCCTCCATGGCCACCACCTTTCCCAGCGGCGTGTCCTGGATCGAGCAGTACACGACCATCGATGGGAAGTCTGCGGCCTTCTTTGTGGTCGGGGCAGCCCTGGGAGAGATGGCCATTCCCGCAGTGATCGGGATCCTGCAGGGGAAATACCCGAACCTACCTGTCGTGCTGTATACGTCTCTGGGCTCAGCCATAGCCACTGCTGTCCTGTTCCCCGTGATGTATAAGTTAGCCACCTGGCCTCTGCGGCGGCGGCGGCGACAAGAAAGCAGGAAGAGTGAGGACCAGAAAGCTCTGCTCCCCAGCTCGGGGCTCCGTGACTGCGAGGAAGAGAACGACGAGGAGGATGCCGACCGATGGAATGAGATGGACTTTGAAGTGATCGACATGAATGACGTGATGAGGAATTCCATAATAGAGACCCCTAGAAGCCTTCTGCTGGGGCCCCCAGCTGGAGCCCCCAGCGTGTCACTCCCCAGGGCATCCCTGTTGGAGTCCCCGCCCGTGGGGAGGGGCAACTCCCCTGTGAAGCATCCTGCCAGAAACCAGGAAAAAAAGGACTGAGGTGGAGAGGAGTGGATTGCTTACGGGTGTCCGTCCGTGAGCCATTGTCGGTTCTAAAGTGGCAGTCAGTGCCGAGCAGCAGTGGGTTCCCCATGTGCTGCGGGCCTCCAGACGGCTAGGCCAGCGGACAGTAAATGCTGAACTGTTTTCAAGTGTTGTCATTTCTAGGTTTCCCTAGGTGACCTCTTGCAGCCGGATCTTGTCCTGAGGCTGGTGCTGGGCAGGTGGCCCACTTGGTCACAGGTCAGAGCACAGAAGGCATTTGCTTCTTCGAACTTGGGTATGGTTCTAATAGAACAGAATAGTCCAGGCATGGAATTGATTAATTGAATGGATCACTGGTCATCAAGATTCTTCCATGAGAGTTGTGGGTGATAATTTTAGGCAAAAGGAACTTTGAAAGTGGGTAGTAGTGTTGTTGGTGGTGGTGGTATCTTTATTAATTGCTGTGCCCTAAAGTCATGGCCATGGAGTGGATTCTAACTGACCCATAGGACAGGGTAGAACTGCCCCTCTGGCTCTCCGAGACTGTACTCTTTATGAGTGCAGCAAATCTTGCCAATGGTGGTTTTGAACGGCTGATCTTGCAGTTTGCAGCCCAGCCCACTCTGCTACGAGGGCTCCCCTTCTGTGTAGGGTTGGACCAAACCATGGGGTAACCACTCACACGGTTCTGATTCCCCCGTTCTCTGGCCAGCGAGACGAGAAACAGACGCAGAGCAGCGTGGAGAACAGGCATGAACACCTGTGGCTTTCACGGACATACTGTTGAATGATTTGTGGGAATGATTATGTCAAGAATACACGTTTCAATACTATCGTGGATTCTGATGTGTTTCTTTTTTCATTGCTTGTGTCTCTGACACAGGGTCTTAACAGTCAGTGGTCTTGTAACTTCGTGATCAAGTTAATGGACAGTTTTTTTCCCATCAAAGTGCTTAGCATAATGGTGTTTCATAATCAGTCTTAGCATCTGTGAAATAGTCATTTACTCAATTACAGAGATTATACTATTTTTACAGACAGTTTTATATAAAATAAAAGATATTTTTATATGCAAATTTTTCTCTATTTATGTTCAAATGGGACTTGGAGATGCTGCATTCTGATTTTACATACGGATTTGGAGTCGCTCTGTCAGTTGTAGGGCTGGGAGGCCTTCAGAGGTCCTCTGCCCGCCCCGGGATAAGAGCTGCCACCACCAGCCTTGTCCCAGGCTCAGCCCTCATACACACTGCCAGCCTGGCCACTAGTTTATCAAACAAGGAGGCACATTCTGTTCCAGGCACTGCAATACGTGTGTCATCCACCCAGTCAGGCTCTTCCTTCCTACGTGTGAAAGTCAAGACTGGAAGGTGGCAGGTTAGGCTAGGAATCAGAGCTCAGAAAAAGTATTTCCTAAGAGAAGTGGCAAACTGGTATGGGTTAAAGCCCCCTGCCGCCCAATACGATTCCAGCCGCAGTAGAATGGCCCCTGTGGGCCCCAAGGAATCTTCGTGGGAGCAGAAAGCCTCAGTTTCCACTCGTGGAGCCACCGGTGGGTTCAAACTGCTGATCATGCATAATCTACCCCCACCCCCTACCTGGCTGTGGGTGCTCCTGAGGTAAATGGCCAGAAGTAATGACAAACCATTCACCCCTCTCTAGTTTCAGGATGGCTGACCTCTGGTTGGTACTGGCTGGCAGCAGACCGCCATTTCCTCATTTACCTTCTATGCACTTGCCTTTGTTTCCTCCGAGGTGATCATGAGGTGCTCTGGTGCTGCAGTGGTTAGAGTCCTCGCTGCCAACTACAAGGTCGGCGGCGTGAGGCCACCAGGTGCCCTGCAGAAGAATGATGTGGCAGGCTGCTTCCGTCAAGATTTACAGCCCTGGGAACCCGATAGGGCAGTTCAGCCTCGTCCCCAGGGGTGGCTTGCTCTCAGTTGGAATCAACCCGATGGTGGCGGGGATTTCTGGGACAGTGGGGGCGGAGAGGATCGGTGAAAATCCCCCTTTCTTGCCCTCTGCCCATTCATCTATGTATCTGCCAAGACACTGGTTCATACGGCTAACTACTTTGGAGAAGGAGGTGGAGAAAATAGTAGCAAAGAGCCTGTGGCTGCTTCTCTCAAATAAAACTGCTCTGAGGTGGGTGGAGCACGGGAGCATGCTGCTGCTCCTCTGCTTTGCTGCCGGGCGCAGCCCCGTGGCCCTGGGACTCCGGCAGTGTCTCCTTGGCAAGATTTGGGGCTGCAGCTCTGAGAGGGAAGTGGGTAGCTAAGGACATGGTAGAAGATTCCAGATCCACACCGTAAACCACCCCCTGGGCTTCCAGAAACCAAAGGGTGCATGGTCTGTGAGGCTAAAGTCTGACAGTGTGTTTACATGTGGGCAGGAAAAGATGTACTACAACGAATTCCAAGAATTGGTTGATGAGTGGAATTAAGACTGAGTCAGTTGATGGTTCTTGCTAATGGTCAGTTCAGCAAATGTCTGCTAACCCCACATAAAGACCCCCCATGTTTCCAGTTGCTCCGTGCCTGCCAACCACAGAGTCGGGGACCTCACCGCTGCTGGTCTTGGTGGGTGGTCAGGGTTCTAGGAACGGTTAGTGTCTGCAGTTGAGGGGTGCACTGAGTTTTGTGCTGTCTTGAGCTCGGGGTGGTCCAAGCGGACATGGCTGTCGGTTGTAGACCCACGTCCCTGCTTTTGGCTGGCTCTGCCAAGGGACCCTCCCAATTCCCCAAAGCCTCTCGCCCCTTGCTGTGTGGCCCTCATGTGGCTCTTCTTGGATGGCAGCCTGTGCCAGAGCCCCTGGGGAACCACCCGCCCCCCCATGCCCTGCTGGGACTCTTCAGTACTCTGAGGCAGGGTGGGAAGAGCTAATTGCCCTTCACAATGATTTAAACCAGCAATTCTCAACCTTCCTCATGCTGCCACCCTTTCATACAGGTCCTCATGGGGTGGTGACCCCCAACCATAAAATTATTTTCGTTGCTACTTCATTGTCGTTTTCCTGTTAGGAATCGGGCGACCCCTGTAAAAGGGTTGTTTGACACCCCCAAAGGAGTTGCGACCCACAGGTTTGAGAACCGCTGATTTAAACATTATTCAAGAGCCATCAATGTAGTTTTACAAACACGAAATCACCATTATCTGAATAATACCCTTTTAACATTTTACAAATGAAACTATGATTATTTTCATTTTAAGTTTTACTTCAGAGCCACACATACTGAAAGAGTCACCTATGGCTCGCGGGCCAGGCCACAGTGGGCCGTCCCCTGGGCTAAGGAGATGCCCAGGCGCCTCTTCCAGTGGAAGGTGGGGAGAAGGTAGGTCAGGGGTGTGACTTGGGGCGGGACCGCCTTAAGGTGCGTCAGCAGCACTCGGTGCTTGGGGATCAGAGTTCTCGTAAGAGCTGAAACTCTCCCGCCAGGAAAAACTGCTTCCGCACTTATTGAAAGTGAGCGTCGGGCCAGTCAGAGGTGCCTTGGGGCAGATGGGAGGTTTGGGGTGGGGGGGTGAGGGGGGGCGGAGAAGCTGAGGGCAGGGTCTGGATGAACGAGCTTTGTTTTTCTTGTCCTCGACATTGGATTGCATTGCCTTTTAACCTTCTCACATGCAGCTCCTTAGCAGAATGGATAGATTCCCCCTGCCCCCCTTAGTGAAGCTCTGGACACCTGGAGAGCATTTTCTAATCACTTGACTATTTTCAACATGAATCTCTAACCTCGTGAAAATCTTCCCATAAAACCCAGTGTTTATTGTAAAGGTCATGAGGGCATAATGCTCATGAGAGAGAATGAGGGGAAATACATAAACAAAGATCTTCAGGAGACGTTTGAGATGATTGTGGTAACCAGCCCCTCAAGAAGTCCTTCAATTGGTCACCTGCTTACATTCAAGGGTCAAGAGGTGAAAAAAAAATCTCTCCCTTACTAGTCAAGTATCAAAACCAACTTGAATTTGGGCCTAGAATATAGTGATACTACAGTTGGTGTGGGAAACTACACTGAGGGAACTGTGACGAGGACTAGATTCCCTAACTTAAGCAGGGGGATCTGGAGAGCTGGTATTCCACGGTAGGGAAGGCTCTGCTTTGGAAAGTTAGAGGTAAAGTCCGAGCACATTAGCCTGCTTTAAATCTCTCTCCCACAGATCCCCCAGCAGCCATGCGGCCTTAAAGTTGATTCTATCTCCCCGTAGAAGCAGACAGCCTTTTCTCTCTTCCTGCCATGTGCCAGCCCCTCCCCCAATGCAGGTATTTGGTGTCCTCACCTGTGAGCTCAAAGACCTTAATGTAGAGAACACCCACCTTCACCTGTGACGCATGAATATGCATGTCTTAAGGCCACCTATAAATGTCCCAAGATAGAAGCTCTCTCTCCTGCCAGTCCCATGTGGTCCATCAAGAGGAGCGATAGAGCGGTGAGCGTGCTGCCATGAAATGTGTCTGACTCCTTCATTTGACTCTCTCGCCTATCTTTCTTATCCTCTATGGCTGTACTCCAACTGATATTATTGCTGTACATTTGCGCCTTCCAGCCCATCGGTTGTTGGAGGCTGGTTTCCTCTGACAAGTTGGTAGACTGGTGTTTAGTTTGAAAGATTGCAGTTTAAGTGGGAAAATTGAAACTACAGCCAAAAGAAAATCAAAACGTAATTGGGAGATGATAAATGTGGAGATGCACTCCTGGAAAAGTGTGCTTTAGGTAGATTTGTGAAAAACGGAGTGAATGAATGTCTCATGACCAGAACTCGGGCCCCACTAGTGGAGTGTCCCTCAGGCCTGCCACTTAGAAACCAAGAACCCCTTGCCCTGCCAAGTGGATTCAGACGCATAGTGACCCCAGGGGACAGGGTCGAACTGCCCCTGTGGGTTTCCAAGACAGTAACTCTTTCCTGGGGAGTAGAAAGCCCGTCTTCCTCCCTCAGAGTGGATTTTGGTTATGAGCTGGGCTGGAACCACAAGGCCCACAGTTCAAAACCACCCGCCACTCCGCGGGAGAAAGACAGGGCTGCAGGGTCACTGAGCCCGGCTCACCTGGATGGCGCGCACCAGCGGCCTCGCTGGGAGCAGTAGGGCCCCCGTGGGGCAGCATAGACTTCCTTTGCTCATTTCAGCTCTTCTAATTTTGCGTCTGAGAGTCTGCAGCCCCCGAGGCCCCCACACCACCACGTCCACCCCAGGACTTGGAGAATCAGACTGAGTTCTTTCCACTTAGAGGGATGTTTTGCCACACGTGTGTGGCCATGGGGTGTCTGTACAGAGGCTCCAGGGCTCCTGCGCCTGCATGGGAGGCGAGCACCCAGCCCCGAGGATCCTGTGGCTGCGCACTGCCCAGGAGCTGCTGGGCACCGTGGGCGAATGGAGCCCTTGAATACGGCTCTAGCACAGAGTGTAATTCTTCATTTAAATGTAAATTTGAGTACCCACGTCAGAAGTGGCTGCCATCTTGGGCTACACAGGTCTAGTAGAAAACACATGAATCGATCCTACGAGATATTTCCAGGAGAGATCGATTTCCTGTTGATTTGTAGCTCGGCTCAGGAAGGTTATCATAGAGACATGGTCAGATAGCATAATTTAAATGGCCACAGCTTTTCATGAAATGGGCTGTGATTGGTAGGCCCACCCAAAACCCAGCCCACAGCTGGGGAGCCGTTTCTGACTCGCCTATATAGGGTTTCCAAAGCTGTTAGTCCCTTTGCCCTTCTCCAGATGAGGAGCCAACCTGCAGGTGAGCCGCCCCACACTTAGCTGACAGCGCCACCAGGGCTCCGGTGGTGGTGATGGACAGTGTAATTCTAATGACCTAGGGGAGCCCTTGGTCTCCAGGGATGGAAAGGGCGTCTATTGGCCGGGCTTCTCAAACACTCTTCCCCTAATACACTTGGACCATGGGAGCTAGGTGGAATTTGAGTTGGATTTTTATTTAGTTTTTAAATTTAATGATGAGAATTTTTGTAACACTGAATTTCACAGTCCAATCGGATTTTTATTTTGTGTGTAGGCGTTCACGCGCTTCTCTTCCCTCCTTCCTTCCAGGGTCTCACACTGTGGTCATTAGTTCTT